ACAACACTATTCAACACCAGATAAAATCTACCAGTGTTGCACCTTGAAGTCTCCAAAATTGTGTCATGACATCAGGACTCAAACAAAACTTCTATCACCTTGTTGTCATCCCTACCCTGTTGCATGGGTGTGAAACTTGGATGACATATCACAAACACCTAAAATTTTTTGAATGTTACCATCAGTGACATATTCAAAAAATCCTATATGTCAACTGGAAGGACAGAAGAATGAATGCTAGTGTTCTGGCTCAAGCAAAAACCACCACCAGCATTGAAGCCATATTTGTATAGCACTAGCTCCATTGGATAGGACATGTCATAAGGATGCCTGACAACCAACTCCTAAATCAGGTCTGACAGTCCCAAATCACCAACTGTCACCACTCTAGAGGTAGGCAAAAGAAGAGATTCAAAGATACCTTGAAGGCCAATCTGAAGAAATGTAATATTAACAGCAATACCTGGGAGACTCGAGTACTGAGTCATCCCCAAGGACACCATGATGTACAACACCAACATTTTAAGCAGCTAGGAGCTGGAACCAACTTCCAAGGGAAGTGGTACTGGCCCCTACCCTGGGGGTCTTTAAGAAGAGGCTGGATGCCTACCTGGCTGGACTCATTTGAGTCCCGTTTTTGTTTTGGGGTTTTGTTGTTCTCCCGCCCTGGCGGGGGGTCGGGCTAGAAGATCTACTAGGTCCCTTCCGACCCAAAATCTATGAAACTATGAAACTATAAGCAAACTCAACTAACCATGGAAGCACATAGACAAGACACACAAATGGAGAGAGCTGTAATCTGACATCACCAGGATCCACTCCTTCCTCCTGGAACTATTCGCCATGGATACAGTCGAACACGTGGAATTCAGATAGGCCTCCTCAGCCATCTACAGACACACCAATGACTTCCCTATTTACTGTAAGACTGCACTGTCTGAAGGACTGCATCTTCATCTTGAGGGACTGCCAATGACAATATGCTGTAATTGTTTGATGATTCTTCTAATTGGTTTCAGTGTGGGGTGGTACGTGACCACTAAGTGTACATGGTTACAGCAGGGTTTCTTTTTTGTATTGTAGCAGGTTATTTTGAAGTATTTGGGTTGGTCTTTCAAAGATAGTCTGTTTCTCTATTGGGGTGTTCATGCCTTGTAAAGGCATATTTCAGGCAGAGTTCTTGTTCCCCTGGTTGGTTATTTCATTTTAGAAATAGCAAGACATTTCTATACCAGGAATACTATAGGCCCCTGATGGACATTCAGTTTAAAGCACAATGGGAATCTAAGCCATGATCTCAACAATCACACCTCCTGCCACGCCATACTTGCATGGCAGGGCATGCAATTTTGGGACTGGGGGCTACATCTCTACTGCACATTATTTGTCAGTGCAGGGGGAGCCCAGAATCATCATCAGTAAGTTTAAACCCAAGTGCTGACAATCAGTTGATTATCAGTTGGGGCTGGGGAATGAACAAGAACCTGAAGCTGGCTGCAGTCACATCCCCAGGCCCAGCTGGGGTTTTAACTGAGCCCCAACTCATGGGGACCCTGCAATTGGGCTGCTGCAGCCCAAGCCCTGGCTCCCTGTGAGCTGGGGCTGTGTTAAAACCCTGTGTGCCATCCAGCTGGGTGGCCCACAAGGTTTTAAAGGTCCTTGTGCATGGAGTCCCTGGGATTAGGCTGCCAGGACAGCTGTGTCTTGGGAATGAGTGTTGGAATCTGTCATGAGCCAGCCCCAACTGGCTACACATTCAATTTTAGGCAAGATACAAGCAAGCCACAAAATTTTTATAACAACACAAAACAGGAATAACTTTGTAGCTCGTTAACTCTACCATGCCTTAGATGGACTTTAACATGTGGCCAGGTTACTATTTAAGGTATGATTAATCTGTTAATTGTGTCTTAAATGTAACAGCTGTCAGGGGCATTAGTGTTTCCAAAATAAAACATTACGGGATTTCAGTTCTACAAAAAACTTTTGTGGTTTTAGCAAACACTTCTGAAAACTCATAACTTTTAGTGAAACTAATATTTCATTTTATCACCAGTTTCATTAATAATTCCACAGCTCTATGTCTAATTACAGAATCAGAGCTAACAATTATACAGCCTCAGAACTATCCTATAAGTCTCTGGGCAAAGCATGAGGACACAACAGCTGACCCTCTTGGTATTTCTAAGGTAAAAAACAAGTAGTTCTGTTCAGCCCGTAAGCACTATCACTATAGGAAATGTTAAACAACAGTGGAAGAATGTTAAAAGAATAAAGTCCAAAAAAAAATGCACAAAACCCAAATTTTATTTTTGTCAGACTTCTTAAGTATCAAATGCTGTGTCTAGCTATACCTACTAAAAGGGAAGGTTTAAATGCCAAGAACTTCAAAGAAAACTTGAAGGAACTACAGATTCTCTTAAAGTGCCTTGGGTCTATTGGCCAAATGGGTTAAAAAAAAAACAAAACAAGAAATGAAAACCTCATTGGAAAATAATGCTAGATCAATATTTTCTACCTTTTTAAGTCTATGAATGATAAAGCTATTTTATTTGCTTTTTGGAGCACACACCTAAATTCCCCTCATTCAGTGTTTGAGATAAAATCTGTTGCTAAAACTAATCCTTTTTGTATGTTACTCACATTTAGAAGTTACTAAAAACACCAAGTGAAGTATTTATTGAATTTCAAAACAAGAACAACCTGAAGGGATCCAGTAGAATGATTATTTCTAAAGATTCCCAATTCTGGACTGCAAGGGTAGCAATGCATTTACTTTTACAGGACTCTGACACTGGCTCAGGTAATGATTCATTTATAGCAGTACTCACCAGGCCTGCTGAATGTGGCTGGGAATGCAATGACCTCATCGATGACATACTGGTCTGGTGCATGTATCCATACCCTTGTGACTGACTTTGCTGATATGCCCCAGGAAGCACAGGGGCTGTGTATTAAAGAAATAAGGAAACATTACCACAACAGTTAAAATTATTCCATTATTCCTATGTCAAGCCTTTGATGCAACTTCTCTTAGCAGTTGCTGGTAGCTGTAGATTGGTCTCCTGACTAGGAATCTGCAATGCAAATGGGGATTCATATTCCAAAAGACAGGTGATTAAAATCAGTATAGAATTTTTTTAAACAACATACATATCAAAAACAAGCTTTGTGTAAGTGAAGTGAAAATCAAACTGCAGCAGAACATTGGTTAGTACAGTGATCCTCAACCAGAGTGCTATAGCACCCTGGGGTGCTAGGAAAATCCTTTGAAGGGTGCTACAAGGTGTGAAGAGATAAGTCAGGTATGAGGAGACATGCAGGTAAGTGCAGGCTAGGCTTGTTCCTGCCTGGCCCCACTGCAAGGAGATAAATACTGTAATAAATATATTCGTTTTTCAAACAGTGTGTCTCTCAATTCATAAAAGTCATGGAGGGGTGTCTTGAGTCTAAAAAGGTCGAGAACCACTGGGTTAGCATCATGTAACTGAAAGGAAGATGGCAAGCAAAAAGGCTTAAAAGACCTCAAGGAACTTAACCACTTTGGATGCAACAACATTAAAATATTCTGAATTATTTAGTTCTTTGGGGACTTTGAAACTATCCTAAGATGAGGCTGTAGGGAAGAATATCCTGACACAGAGTTCCTTTGATTTTTTTAATTTAAAAAATAATCATTATAAAACTGAACACTAAAATACATTTGAAACATTTTAGTAAAACTGTTTAAATTATACATTCTTAATATAGTATTAAGCACCTTCATTTATAGCCAAAGCAGCAGTTTTCAAACTGTGTTCTGTAGAACCCTGGGGTTCCACGATATGCTGTCAGGGATACAGCAAAGAGACTAGGAGTAAAGATGAAGTAGGATGGGAAGCAATACACTGCCACTGCAAAGCAGAGCTGCCTGGCTCCATGTCAGTCTTTAGGATAGGGGTATGGGTTCAGCAGTAACAGTCATATGAAAGTGTTTAATTACCAAAGGAGGCCTATTGCATAGGGATTGATGAAAATGTTTAGCAGTTATGAATGAAATTTGATCAATTAGTTTATGCTGATCCTATCAATATCCACACCAGAGATTAATCAAAATTAACTAATTGGAAATCTTTATTTCTGCCCCTTTCCTTGTCCTCAGCTTTCCATTACCCTCTTCTCACCATCTCCCTTCTCTCCCACACCCTTTTTTGTTCTTGTTGTTATTGTCATTAGTTGAGACTTTGCCAATCCTGTAAGATCTTGCAGGTGAGTCAACAATGTAGTATAGTTTATTGTATCAAAATCTGATGAAAGACAGGGTGGATAAAAATCAATTATTATTTTTTACCCTAAAAATTGGATTTTTATTTAAATCAGATTTTGTTTATTTAATCATATTTTTTAACATGCTGTTTTAAAAAAATAAACCTATATAAAGATAGCTTTAATTTGTGTTAAAGCTCAAAGATATAATCATGAAATAGGGATTATAACTTTTAATTATATAGCATTTGAGACAATATATTCATGTAACCATTTTAGAAATTTTATAAATAGGTCACAAAAGGCCATGGATTATATTAGGGGCCCATACTTATGGGGTTCTCAGAAGCTCCTCTATAAATTACTAAAAAT